AAATCATATTCAAAAAATAAAAATATCGCATAATATTTTCTGCACCGTGAAATCCCTGTTAAACCAGTAGACCGAAAACTATTCTATGGTATAAAAATAATTAGATAGATTTGATATCGGATACAATTTTACCTGCAAAAATATTTAAATACAGTTTATCATTATACTTTATATTTATTTAAAAATGTTTTTTATCTTCCTTATGAGTTATGATAGGTACCTACATCCTTTTATTAGAATCACTAAATTATTTATTATTATATACATTTAGTTTTTGGTTACCTATTTTAACATACGACAGTACGACACACATATACTGATATACGTCGTACATCTCATAAGTATATTTAATATTTAATGTGTAATAAGCATAAGTATTAGGTATAGATAATAATATATTTTAGTCTAAAGTCAGAACTTTTATAAGCATTAGTACAAAAATCCAATAATTTTTTTCAATTTAATCGGTATCTTATATTTAATATTTTAATTACAAGTTCTGGTTACTTATACTATGCAAAACGGAACAAGAAAGTTATTGATTATACAATTATGTATATTTTCTTTAACGTTGCTGAAGTTAGGTTAAACGTGTTCCAAAAGTTGTATGTAACACATGTCATCGATTTTAACTTTTTAACTTATACTTAAAAAGTAAGGTACCTACTTAGAATTTGTTCCAGTTACAATATTCCTATTACGTTTATGGAAAATTGAAATGTATTAAAAATAAATTAACCATCGCATAACCTTGTTGTGGATGTAGCTATGGTAAGTAATGTGTTTTAATTGCTCAAATTTCAAAAAGTATTTATTGACGTTCTCGACATTTGGACTGCAGGTTACATTTTATATAATAAATGTATAAACATAAATTAGTGCACTGTATTTTTTAAGCATACCTATCGAATGGTTTGAGATGGTTTGAATGGTTCGATAAAATGTTGGTCAGATTTGCAAAAATGATTTCATAATATGTTAACGATTTCGTTTATAAAATCCGATGTAGGTACCCAATTTAAATAGGTCAAATAACATAATTCAACATAATGTTCTCGAATGTATTTTTCTCAACAGTCGCATGACGTGTTGTACACTATTTTTATAAGATGATTTCCGTTCATTTTAATCCGAATCCATTCCACATCAATTTCATTCATTACTGAGCATTTCTATATTTTTATTTAAACTGAACAAACTATATTTTATTTTAATAATAATCAGTTTTATTTTCCAGCCGTTTCGTGATTTATTATTAAAAATGCAAAGAAAACAAAAAAAATTGTTTGTTTTGGATTGTAAAAAATTCTGTTTTATTGAAATACCCAAGAAAAATATATTTTAATACACCGGTTCAATAATTCATATTCGACCTTATTGATTAATGAGATAGGTATAGTTAGCTATGTAAATATTAATTGCAAATGTCATTCATTATCTAGCTATAGTATAGTTTTAGACCGTTTAATATTGATAGAAATGAAAATAATATACTTCTTCCAATTCAGATTGACTATACAAATATTATAAAATACTTTGATCGAGGATCTGTGTTAAGAGGATGTTAGGGCAATATTTTTTTTTCTCTCTCAGACCCATGCACAACATAGATTACCACTTTCACCTTAAATTTGTTTTTATGATTTTTGAGTAATCTTAGAGTATAATCACCATTTACTAAAATTATAGAGGATGATATTTTCGAAAGTTTAACATATCAGTATTATATTTTATTATTATTCGGCTATCAAAATTAATTTTTGTAATGAGCGATTTTACTCTAAAATAACTCCAAAACATAAAAAAAATGATTCTGAGTAAATGCATTTTGTCCATGTTGTCAGAGAGAGAAAACAAACAGTGCGCTGATATCCTCTTAATATTAATGTAAATATTATTCTTTAGCAAATACAAACTTAATAACTCTTCATTAGGACAAAATAACATTATAATTTATTTGAAACGCACAGACTTTTTACTTCAACCTATTATTTTGCCAATAATTTGCCAAAATTTGACAATAAATTGTTATAATTTGCAAAGTATAATATAGTACCTACTAACCTACTTACACATTTAAAGCACATACGCTTTTATATTTTCATCCGAACTTCAACTATAATATACGTATTATTTAAGCATAACGAATCTAATTTTTCCAGAAGTTTGACTCATAAATTTAAACGTGAAATTTTCAAAATTATAATCACACCAACGATAGTGATTTTTAATCATTATTATTATCATTTTCGATTTGTATACACAGTTGGTTATTAATTTCTTACAATTTATTTTTGGATAGGTTTATAGAAAACGCTATGATAATGGTACAGATTAACTATAATATTGTCCAGTGTGAATAATATTATAATGGAAAAACTTATCTACATTAACGACTATATTTTCATAGATTTAAATGTTATCAAATAATTTATGGGACGAATAGCTTACTCGATATTCGTAAATATTCATCGGTTTTCAATCCTCTTGGATGAATTTACTTACTTATACTTATTTATTTAAGAAAATATATCGACAACAATTTCTCCACTTTTACTAAAGTCAATCGTTAGCTAAACTGCTAAGGTTCAATGACAATAATTATATTCGTCTTTTAGACGAATACAAATTTAAAATAAGTATTATTAGGTTTTTTCAGAGTTCCTTACAATTGATATCTTTAAAGACATTTATTACGTTATAACACGTACCTACCTTTTATTTACTGCTCAATATAAAGAATTAGAAATTAAATAAAACCTATTTATTATAAATGAAAATAAAACCAATTATTCAGCTAAAAAATACGTATAGTATGGACGCTAGTATTTTTTCCTGAAATTAAATTTAAATTTCTCTTATCTTAGTAGGTAGGTAGGTCTTAATTATATGCTGACTTTTATAATTTATTTATTTATTAATAAATATACTAAGCTTAATTAACTTGTTTTATTCGTTAAAGTATTCAGGGAAATTATAATGTTTTAGCACAATATGGTTTTTGTAATCCTTGTTCAGTGCTTTGAACAAATTATACCGGTAGGACACTACTACAAGAACCACTAAAACAAACGACTAAAGAGGATCGCCAAATAATATTTTCTTATCATTCTTATTAGATGAAGGAATTATTTTCACTTCTTAAAGTTTACCAGTTGTAGTTGATATCTCCTATGAACCAAACAATGTTACGAATTAAATCGGAGACGCATTTCCTTTATCGTCACGGCCAGTTATTAATTATTATCATATTTTACCAGGCTGAATAATGTGTATTGTAATAATTACACATGCGATTAAATTATTTCTGTTTTTGTTTTATTTGACAAAAATTAGTGATGTTAATAATGTTATTGAAATTATGTTTATCTGCACAGCCGGAAAGCTAATTTAATTTTCAGAATTGTTCGGTATTCCTATTGGCTATTTCTCATTCATTATACCTAAGTACTTTTCTATTATTAATAGTATAATATTATTAACTATTTAATTATTACTATGCAAATTAAATAGGTACGCACTGTATGTACTATTATACATGTAGATGCCTATAGACATTGATTATATTATATTTTAGAATTGAATTGCCTATCTGTTAATTATTATGATACCTATATTATGTACCTATCTATTAATAGTGCGAGTTTATATACTACTCAGTGTTTTAGTTGAATTATGCATATTTCTATAATAATGTGTCAATCAATTTAACATTCATCTATATTGTTGCCTTGTTGGTCAAATTGATATTTTAATGGAATCGATGAAATACATAGCTCTCATAATCCCATCACATCGTGTTAACTAAATGATAATATTGAAGTTGATTGACAATTTGAAAGTGTTTAATACTGGTTATTAATGCACCATAATAATATTGTATACTAAAGTTTTCAAACTCACTTAAAATTCTGTATGCATTATAAAGTATGATTAATAAAAATCATTATTTTTTAAAGTAAAAAAATATACTATGTTGAAGTATTTTTATACACTTTTCTTAAGTTCGGTTTCACGCCCGTCTGTGATCAAATCTTGCGCGCTCGATTTGAGGCACTTTTTGAAGATGAAAAATTCTGAAAATTGGTATAGACCTTGGTTTTTGATGACAATACAATAATCCGTAAAAAAAAATTTTTAACTAAAAAGTAGAAAATTAAAAATTAAAAAAAATTTTTTTAAAAACACACTTATCTAAAAAAACAAAAAAATAATAAAAAATTTAAAAGTGTGTGGCGCTCTTACACTTGACATATTATACCACACACTTTTAAATTTTTCATTATTTTTTGTTTTTTTAGAAAAGTGTGTTTTTAAAAAAAATTTTTTTATATTACTTACTTATTATGTGGATATAATTTAATATATTTTATCATTATATGATTTATAATAATTAACTAATGTTATTTCCAACTTTCAAATATATCACAAACTCACACTATAGGTGGGTAACTTATTTATATACTATACAGTAGCCAATAACTATATAAACACAATATCGCTCTTGAAATGCGTTCAGTATTTCAGTAAAACTATAAAATATGAGATTATGTACCTACCTATAGGGCTGAAAAAAACTTACTATTTGTAATTTTTAGAACTTGAATGAAATAATAAAAATACATGGAAGTATTAGCTTATAATTATAAATTTAAATCAAAGTTTATTTAAATCATGTTCTATATTTTTTAACAAATCACAAAATTGTAAAAAATAATAATGACAACACAACAATCAAATATTCATAATATATTGAAGACCTAATCATAACAAAAATATAATTTATATGTAGAAATATGAAAATTGTGGTTTCTGCCAGAAAAAAATAACTCAGCCATTAAAAATCTAAAATGATAATCTTTAATTTATTAGCCGTAATAATGTACCTATATACTATACCGCCATAACGCCTTAAATGTAATTATTAGTGTTTATCGATGATTAAGTACCTACATGAAATTATGTTTTTTTAATGTCTTATGTACGTACGTTGTTGACAGTTTTGGTCAGCCTATGTACCCTGTGGCAGAAAGCACCTGGATGCTGTCCAAACTACAATGGAACAAATCGACGTCATTAGGAGGTTGGCCGAAACCTATTCCAGTGATTTACAGCTTGTAACATCGGTAAAAGGTACGGCATAAATCATAAATATATTATAATATATCTTTTTCAAATTGCATAAACTTAAATCGCTTTTTCAGGAATACGAGAGGCACACAAAGTCAGAAAAATTGCTAGTCTAATTGGCGTCGAGGGTGGTCACTCGCTGGGAAATTCACTAGCAGTGCTCAGGATTTTCCACAGCCTTGGCGCCCGATATTTAACCCTAACGCATACTTGCGATACATTATGGTAAGAACACAAACCTATTTTTATGCCAATCGAAATGCGTACAAGATATTAAGTTTTTTCAAGCACACGATAGGTATTTTATACAATTTTGACAAACACTAAATTTAAGAATTCGTTAATGTAATGATCTACTATATTTAGTCATATTTGTATACCATTAAATTTCGGATCAACTAATTTATATGTAACATATTATATTTTTCGTCATAAACAATGGCAATATATAACTAATTCTTAATGGAGTGAACAGGTAAAACTTATAGATACATTCTAACATTTTATGCCTCATTTTTTCACCCTTGATAAAACCACTATGAACTTTAGATTTTTAAGACACCCTGTATTTATAATTATAAATTCTAGCTTATGCAAATTAGTTTTATAAAACGGTTGATGTAAAAATATAAATATAAATATTGAATATTGAACGAATAGTTGCTTTTATTATTATGCATTTAAAGCTTAGTTGAAGGGAGGGATTAATGCACCACACAACTTCAGGGTGACCATTGTGACTTCATTTCTCTTATATAGAATACTTAAATATAAATGCTTATTAATGAACAAGTACAGATTCAAAAGTATGGTTCATTAATTGATATTAATTATGGTATCTAATCATTTGGAAAACAAAAAGTTGATAGTGGTTTCGCACTAGCAAATAAAAGTGTAATTATAAACTAAATTAATAAAGAAAAATGTATTAATGGTAGGTAGAACTGCTGTATTTATATTTTATATATTTACAATTTCCCAATTATTGGTAAATTAAAAAAAAATTTAAAAAAAATAGTTAATTAATTTCAATATATAGAGTGATTGTATTATAATCTTTATACTATACCTACGCTTTACTGTCAATATTATCTTCCCGTATATGGTATATACCTAGGTGTGCAATATTAATCTTTTGTGGCGCACAATAGCAAAATATTTGAAATATCATATGTCAATTTTCAATACAGCTGGTATACAGACATATTTAGTAGGTAATAGCTGGTACCTTGCACGCCGTGCCCCACATACCTATACATGCGTGAAACGGAATCTGATTAAACCACCAGGTCCTCTTAATATTATTAAGTCAATAAGTTATATATTTGTGGAATCCACTTAATGCATCAAACAACTTTCGTAATTAACTTTATATCAAATTTCGTTAATTTAAATAAAGCTAACTATAACAACTGTACGTGTTCAGCTCCTATTATGACTTTGTGTGTTCTATATTAGTTGCTTCAAGTATAAGCTAATTGTATTATAGCGTGTGTGTATATATATTATTATATTGATGTATGTAAATAACGAAACTCGTGAACAACAATAATAATATTATACCGTTTCGTTCATATATGCGTTCTTTTGTTCCCTATAGTTAATGGATGTAATAAGTGATATTATTTCGCCGAAACGTCGATGCAATCTTTGGACTTTTTATTTCTGTTTCGTAACAAAATACTCGGGGCATGCAGCGTTTTTACTGAATGTTCGGAGGAAAAAAACAGTATAGAGATTGTGATACAATCTATAAATCTAAGAGTAGAAGATAAAAACAAGATAAATCACCTAGCCACTTTGAGAGTGTTTAGAAATAATAATACTTACTTTTTTTTTTTTTCTTAATTCGGCCCATTGGTTTCTTATCAATCCGCACACGCACACGAGAGCCGAACGTCCGGAAAGGGGTGCGGAGGTGACGGCCAGGGTGGCGGATAGTGTGCGCGGGAGAGACGGAGAGAAGAAAAAAGGTCCGAATTGATTGAATTTCGTCACACACACGGTCGTTAAGTGTTCTGCAGCAAAGCACATTCGAGTGGTTTCAATGGTCTAATCGAATACGCGCGCGGGTCGTGTCCTACATAAACTTTATTGACTCTGACCATGAGAGTAATATATTATTATGTTATGTGTAAGGTATTGTCGCCGCGCGCCACACGATGGTTGTACTCGGTATGTGTATAGACGAAATTGAAAACAAATGCGCTGGTTATAATAATAATAATAATAATAATATGAGCTATTTTACTCTGCGGCCGTTTAGGGTTTAATCGACAACAAACGTTCGTCGTTCGGTTTTTATTTACGATTTTATAACGGTCGGTAATAAAGGATAACGCACACTCGTAGTTTCTTGGCCACCGCAGAAAGTTAGGTTGGCCAGACCTTTGAAATATAATATACTTCGGCACTACGCGAGCTTTTGCAGTATTTCCAAAAACGTTTCGTTTGGCGTTGGCATAAGCGTATTGTTGCCTATTGACATTAGACAATATTAAGCTATGAAAATAACATGTTTACGACTTGTGGCGTCTACATTTCATCTGTCATACATTTTTTTTTCTTTTTAAGCTGCTTCTTAGCAGTCGTTTTACGGCCACGGTCTTAAGACTAAGGAGTCAAATCGTATCCCGGTCCAAAAACGAGTAAGATATGTTTTGAGTTGCCACGGTTTCAAATATGATTTTCTGTAGGTACCTATACCTATAAGTACCTAAAATATGTTTGAAGGATTATAATATGCAGTTGAAATCAATATATACGATAATAAACCACCCTTTATAAAAAAAATATTATTTATGACCATACGTATTATGTATATTGATAATTTATGTATTATAAATTATTATTTTAGGTAAGTATTATTATAGGTACTTGCCTACAAAACGTTATTTTTATCTTCTTCCATTTTTCGAAGTAGTACCTAACCTACTCTACATAATAAATATTATTATACACACAAGATATTATATTTTTATTTTTATCAATATATTGAATTTTGTCCATTTCACATTGGAGTTCGTTATTTTATGTTCTGAGCAATTTAAATACGTTTATACAGCGTATGAATATTGCTAAAGTTAGATTTTACATACTAATACTTCCTAGTACGATTGTTCAGTTGGCTTTAGTAGATATATAATATATATACATTAATATAATATTTAGTCAATGAGTGGGTTTTGTTTAGTAACAACAGTACGGATTTTCGAGTGCAAGTTTTTATAGTCCGATTTCAAAGGGTGTGTTATCCTTCTGTCTCAAGAAGGGCTATACTGGTTGTTTTTACATGTATTTGTACTTAATTATAGTTCTACATAATAATATATTGTAATGTTGTATCGTTATTCGTTACATATAATGTGACTCTCGAATAACCACTGGTTGCGCCAAGATTCGAGTTTTCATCACAATTTACAATCGATAACTGATTTAATTAGGAGGTATATACGTATATACTAATTGCATCCTGCAGTCCATGTCAAACGAAAAAGTGCTTCAATCATAATAGCATCATGTATAATATTATATTATTATGTAAATATTATACTATAAGGTTTCACGTTATGTAATTATTATATTGTATTCGATGCGTCTGAATAAAGAGTGCCGACAAAGGTACCTAAATGTAAGGTTTTACATTTTTTTTTTTTTATCTCGTTATATACAAAAAAGTTTCCCGCATAATTTCTTAATGCCAATGCAGATGTCATATTAAATACGCACCACTCAAACACGACAATAACACGTCTATAAACAAATGACAAATGCATTAAAGGACTCTGTTTACTTAAAAATGTACATTCATTATTATGTAGGACGTGGGTACAATTGGAAACGGGCGTGCCGTGAATCAGCTCTCGGTAGTAGTTTTGCAATTCTTATTCTTCGAATCGAACTATAAACCGACCTATACCACCACTTACACATCATCCTATATATATATATATATATTATATAGTATATACTACCTATGTACAACCGAGAATCGACAGGGGGATAAGTTATACTCAGTTGGTGACGAGACGCCGTTTATTTAGTTGCGGGTTGCTCCACCAAACAATATATTATATGAACTATCCCTCCGCGTCCGTATTGTGTACAGTACGACTGACCCTTTGATATAACATAAAGATTGCCGACTGGAATGGTTGACACTTTGTCAATACGTTTGACAGTTTTTGGGATAGACACATTTCGTATCTCAATAATTTTGATAATTTTTTATGATAATATTTTTTTTGGAATGTTTTACAAAAAAAATTGATTTTAGGTAGTTCGTGGAAATATTTCATAATAACTATATTTTTGTAACCTCGCCATGGATTACCGTATATTAATTTATTACTTTTAATAGGGCTGGCTGTTGTTCCGGCTTAGACTCGCCAGATAATGAACATCAAGGGTTATCTCCATTTGGTTTGGTAAGTATACGCACAATGCATAATAGATGCTATATATAATATTATATATTATTGTATTAATAACAATTTCGATATTATACTTCTATTTATTGAACGTAATATTAATACCTATTAAACATTGTAAAATAAATCATATATTTTATACTATCGTAATGTTTATTTTAAAACCAAATTATTATTGGTGTATGGTAGCTACTTACTTGGAACTATGCATCAATTACTGTTCGTCGATCAGTGGAATTAATATATTATAGGTAATACAGGTGCAGGCCTACAGTAAAAAATCCATATTTCAATATTTGTGCACGTTCATATATTTTAATCTATCGTCAAGAATAGCATACGTCATATAGGCTCGAAAATCTCATTATTCAAGTAAAACAAATTTTCATAACCTATTCGGTAAATGTTTACCTATATAATACTAACCATAATAATATTATAATCAATTATACGTATTATTATTATTATTATTATTGTTATTATTATTATTATATTCATTAAATTAAATAATTTAATACTCAATTTAAACAATAATTTCAGTTAATTCACAATATTATATCGTTTGATGAATAAAAACATTTAAAATGTGCCATTTTTGAAAAGAAAAAACCCAGCTAATATGCTAAATACCACTTAACGCATTCCTACCTATATTTCTAATCAAAACCGATCATACTATATTGTACTGTTGCGATTTATATACGCTAGTATTAGTAGAGTACGCAATCTCATATTTATTTCACGTATTGAAATACTGCAATGCACCATGTACCTAGTTGCTGTGCTAACATGTCAATATAAACACGCTCCAAGTGGAATGTATATGCCATTTAGTTTTTCATTTAGGAACTTAAATTATACGATTAAAATCAAAGGGTTTTTCCATTTATAATTGAAATAAATAACGATTGAGATAGTGAGGGGTAATACGATTGCCTGAAAAGTTATTTTGCATACCCACTCATATTCAAAAACTTGAAAAGAGTATTTATAACACACATTTCATAGTTATAACTTAAAGGAAGGTATTATTACTGTACCTCTTGTGTTTATTTTGAAACCATCTATAATACCCGTTTCAAACATATGCGTATAGCCGTATAGGTATTAGGTACCTACATACTGCTGTCATTATAGTTTCCTCAAAATTCGACGTTTGAATCGACGTCTTTCAACAGAACATAACAACGTAAAAATGCACAAAACTAATTACACGTTTTTAACGAATGGCATAGATATTGCAATACGCTAAAGAGTGTCCAATACATAAATGAGTAAACGATAGCTGTGAAAAGGGTTGACAGTAATTGAAGATAAGTGAACGGAACTCTAGTATAATAACCGTAAATGTTTTAACTATAATTACTGTTTTCATACGATATTAAATCTATAATACCTAACCTAGCTGATTTAACAACATAAATATGATATTTTATTTAATGTGCTTTGGTATTGATAACTTACTGAAATAAATAAGTTAATTACTTTATTAGTGTGTGACAGTAGCGGATCCAGGGCTTAATTTTTTTTGGGGGGGGGAGGGGCAAAAGTACAAAAAGTGCAAACATTTGTTAAACGCAGTGTAAAACATAGGAAAACTAATGTGATCGGGGGGGGGATATACTATGCCCCCTCCCTCCGGTTTAGCGACTGGGGTGGGATTATCTGTTTACAATTATTGCACAATACATCATAAATCCTAATGAAATTTTCAAAAAATGGGGATTTTTTTATTTATACACGGAATTAACTAAGTATTAAAATAATGATAGTATTATACTATACCTACTTCCTAGGTAATCTTATGATTCATGCTACCTATACATTTATTTATTGTTACTATTATTTTTATTTTGTAGCTAGTTCTCAGAGAATTGAATAGACTTGGAATGATGGTGGACCTTAGTCACACATCTGTCAAAACAATGGAAGACGCACTTAACTATACTTTAGCACCTGTAATCTTCTCACATTCGTGTGCATATTCATTATGCACTTCATTGAGAAATGTTCCTGATCACGTGCTCAAACTAGTGGTAAGCTTACACACAAATGTTGTTATATTTTAATTCGAGTGAATACCTACATATTATTATTTACCACGTTGTTTATGCTATTCTAATTTTAGGCCTTAAACGACGGTATAGTTATGGTGAGCTTCTATTCCTATTTTATAAGCTGTAATTCTACATCAACTTTGGATCAAGTTATTGGTATGTACTTAATATCGTAATATGCTAAATGCATACCTACCTATTGCCTATTTCTAGTTTTAATTGTGTTGAAATAACATGTTAGGTATTGTTAACATTCTTTTCATACACATTTCAGCTCACATTAACCACATTAAAAACGTAGCTGGAGAGGACCATGTCGGCCTAGGTGCTGGTTACGACGGAATTAATCAGTAAGAATAACACTATTTGAAATAATTTTAATATTTAAGTATAAAATTATGATGTTCAACTGGAATTTATACAATATTATTATTTTATAAGCAATTTATTCAAATCTCTAACTTGATTTAGCCAATGGAGGCAATATGTAGCTATAATGTCTAAAACAAAAGTCATCATTAGGTATTGCCTAATCTATAACATTTGTTTTTATTCACATAATAATATAATCGGTTTATGCTTAACTTCATCTTATACTTGTTTTTAATATACCTACTTAACAACTCAATAGAGGTATAAAACATAATACATTTGTAGGTAGTACGAATTTCTTGATAATAATGTTTATTCCTGAAATTATGTTAATATAATAGTGGTAACGGTGTCGTAAGCGATCTCCAAAAGAATCTATACTGGTAGGAACCTATTATATCTACCTATTAGCTTTTCTTAAATCCATTAATTCTGCAGTACCTAAATTTGTTTTAAGTTTATGAGTGAATTTTGTTGGTCTATAGTATTTACCTGGTGTCTGTAGGTACGTATCAATATTATAACGTTTTGAAAATAAATATGCAACCATATAAATTGAAATCAATATTGCTAAATCTAAATCTCCATAAGCTATTCGCAAATTTAAATAATTATTAGCATCCAGTCGACGTTCGTGTACGTGGAATTATTGTTATATCCAATAAACGCGCGTGTGTATGAAATGCGTATTCGTAATTTCGTATACCATCATTAACGAAGGTACTGAATTATGAATATTATCAGACTATCTGTTACCTACTCATCATGATATTATACTGTTGTTGTAATTTAACTATAGTTTATACTACATAAAAAATTGCAAGGTCTATGTTTAAACTGTAATGTGTGATACAGGTACCTTTTGAGTATAATAATGTTATGGATCACAATACGATATTTGGTTCATTCAATCGTGATTCGTGATGTATAATACGTGTAATAATTGCAGCAAGTGCGGTCTGCAGGAATGGATTGTCGAACTCAAGTCTTTTTAGCTGATTTACAATAATAATATTTCAGTTCAGCAACTAAAACAATAAAATGTAACATATTAGGTATACTATTATAGGCATTACACAACAATATCAATGTATTAAATTGTAGATATTATTAAATATTAGGTAGATACCTAATTATAGTTATTGTATATTATATGTGTTAATATTCATCACTGATGTTCGGAAAATGTAATATAGGTACCTACAAGACGCCCCTAATTCAGCATATGCCTTTTTTTACAAGTAAATAACAAAAAAAAAAAATGTTATCACTACGCTCGAACAAACATTATACAATATTATACTTACAAGAAAACAATATGCTTATCTACTCATTAGTTATCTACTCTTGCTACACTTAGGTATTGTTTTTTAGAATATATTTAAAACCAGATACAATTTATACAAATTAATAAATTATTACATACACAATATGTCTACATATCATTATTAATTTCAAACTCATGTCTCATGGTATATGGTATATTCTGTACCTATAGCTATGAATTATTGTGATGATAAACGACTTAGGAAATAGGTATACTATGTTTAAAATTTTAAATATTATATAACAATAACATAATCCTAAAAATTTACAAAGTTCAAAACTTTTGTTATTTCTTGTACAAATAAATAGTATAGAAACAAATAGATAGGAATATAATAGATATTATTATAATCGAATAACAAGCTACAGAGTCTCAGTGGTCAGAAATGCAATATAATGGTACATGGAAATATCGTATGCTGGCAGTTCGGTGCCCCGGCGGTTATTACATGTCAACATAATAATATGTAGTGAATAGTGATAATATTAAAAATAGTTCGATTAGTAGGTACGTACGTACCTGGTATTAAGAAAACAAGGTCCATAAACAGCGTTCTCTCTACGATTTTAGATACCGTATAGTATTCCGACAATTGACGTAGTAAATTCGTAAAAGTAATAATTAATATTTATATTCTATTAAATATTTTATTTTTATTATATTACAAACGATATGATCACTGCTCCTTTTGCCCCCCCCCTCGATGCGCCCTGGGTACCTCTAATATGCTATATGCAATATTACAACACGATATACTTCAGTGTAATATACTGTAATACTAAGCATTTATGCGTATGAAGTACGAGTACGTCTGTAGTACCAGAATTAGGATTTTTGAGCCCATGGGAAAGTGGGTGACTGAACAATATTCTCAATTCTCAAATCAACACGGTAATAAGCTTTTAAAAATATTTTGTGAAACCATGTTTTGGTAGGACATCGTCTCATTCACTTCTCTCTCGTCTAATCATCGTCGATATAATATTGTAGCTCATGAAGTCAATTATATTAAATCTAGTTTTATCTAAACATTTGTTTTTATTATCAATGTAAATATGCATAGTAATTAAATAAAAAACCAAACCAAACGTCATGTTCATCTTAAAAATATATTTTTATACTTTTTTCTATAATTAAAACTAATTTAATGACGGAGTCTTATACTGTAATATAATGTATAATGTAATTATAAGTATAATATAATCAGTATAATGTAATTATACTGTATATTGTAATATAATATGATCAAAATGATTTCAGCACTACGAAAGGACTTGAAGACGTATCGCACTATCCTCAGCTATTAACATCGTTAATGAGTAATCATTCGTGGACTGAGGATCAAATAAAGAAGCTTGCAGGCAACAATTTACTGAGAGTCTTTTCTAAAGTAGAGAAGGTAAAAATATTAAAATTAAAATACAAGCTAGTCGTGACAGTAAATTTATAAATAATAAATAAACCTACATAACAGATTAACTTATTTTCAGGTCAGAGACGAGTGGAAAGAAGATGGAATGAAACCAGTTGAGGACATTTTGGTGCCGTTGAACAAAGAACCTTTGTTACCCAATTGCACAGACGGATATAACATGACTTGATGTTTTTAAATATATTATTTATTTTAGCAGTAGTACCTACGGTAAAAACTGAACATTTTCCGCCGAATAAACGGAATCCAGTGCTCAGTGGTGTCTAGAGCCCCCAATTATAATATTATAGTTGGGAATTGTTTAGTTTCATTTGTACGCATTTCTACATTGACACTAAAAATTAATAACAACATAGTTACTCCCAAACTTACATTTTTTTCAAACACGTGGAACCATATAAATCAAAACGGATTTCACAATTGTAATAAAGTGTATCTCGGTAGGCAGTTAATAAATGAAACGTATACGTATTGTCCCGTATTTTGTATGAAATATTACATGACTAATGTTGTAGGTGTCCAGGGACAATTTTTAATACCAGCTGTTAATTTTGAAAGTTCATGGAAACGTCAACCAATTTGTCATCTTATCTCCTATGTATACGTGTTCCTAAGTTAAAAGTTTATTAAAGGTTAGAGAAAATTGTCATTACAACTTACAAGGCCCGTGCACACGCTATAGACTCATTATTACATTGCAACAATGTCACATACTATGTTGAATAACAATTATTAATTTATCGACTTATTCAACGCTCTGTAGACCAAACTACTTAGTTGAATTTGTAAAATATTTTATTTAGACTCAATAATATAAATTTATTTTATTGAGGCAATCATTAAAGTTAGCGTTACACCATGTCAGTATCATTGTTGAAATTAATTTTTTATTTATATAATTATATACATATATTATATATTATTATGTTAATTACAATTAAGTTGTTTTGAAAAGTGTTCATTAGAGTTTAAAGTAAGTTAAACAATATTAATAATAATAACTTAGATAATATTTTGAGTTTAATATTATTATATTAGGTATTAAATTTAAATAAATGAATACAATTTTAAACAAATTGTTTTTTTTTTTAATCCACCTGTCTATAATATAAAATATAATATAATTAAATAAAAATGAACGTTTTATCTGTCTTATCTGTCTGTCTGTGTGTCCTTTATGCATTCCTAAATGGACCGATTTTGATGAAATTGTTTGTGTGTGTTTGAGTGGTTCCCTGGATCATTTAGATTCACAATTTGACCAGGTAGATCCAACCCGGAGAAGTGCTCAAGCGGGGATTTTGTGATTTACGGTGGACATTTTTGTTTATAAATGGTTACTATTATATTTATATTAGTTATAGGAGACATAATTAGTAGAAATTAGTATTAATTATTTTATTGGCTGTCATTGGTTAATCGGGGAGATCGGGTGCAATAAGCATGCATCAAATCGAATTTTCGAACATATTGCCTACTTGAAAATGATATGTTTTCACACATTTTCCCACCAAGGAGGCTGAGTTGCACCTAAAAGGAGTTGAACAATCACAATTTTTTTAAAGTTGTATTTCTTACGGACAACGAAGTGTGCGGGATCAGCTAGTTATTAATAAAATATGTAGGTATATGGTATACCTAATATTGAAACACTTTGCATTAGTTACTGTCAATAGTTATATAATCTATTGAATACTGCTGATAAACTTGGGTAATATAGTTATAACTTATAAAATATATTGTACCTGCGTATTGTACATCATCGGACATCGGTAGTTTTTGGGTAAAACTATTTTTTTAACACCTCAATTACTGCTCTTCACACTCGCATCAAATACGTTTTTCAGAATCAATACCCAGTCGTATACACTTCTATATATTTCATCCATAGTTGCATTTGGGATGCAATCGGAATACATGCTCCATTTTACGACCTAGCTGTTACAAACAGATAGCAATCGGAGCATAAAGAAGGTAAAAAGGTCAAAATGGGAAGAAATCGAAATACGCCCAGCGTAATTCTTTGATGTAGGTATACATCTAGTGCGCGTTCAATAGTTCGGCCAAAAGGGAACAATCGTTTATCGTACTCAATCTTTCTTTACCCTGAATACGTTTTATATATTGTGTGCATTTCGATCATTCAACGGTTTACGGCTGTTTTCGAGTCATCGTTATGAGAAGTTCAGAAGGGCCGAACTCTTGCAAAATTGGACATTGACTACTCGGGTTGTCTTTGTATCTGATTCACTAGAAACCCCAGAGCAGTCCCAATCGGAGGCATTCAATTAAATTATAATTAATTTGATGTTTACTAGGTAGTAGGTTTTCCATATCAGAAGTACCAGGATCTCATGCAGCATACTATGTGACGGCCGGCCAGTGTTATAGAGTGTTGACGACGTGATCTGTACGTTCAGTTGCCCACATAAAAACTCCTTGTGATGTTGGCCACCCGATCGTGGAGTATTTTTTCATTGAAATTTACACATTTCAACTTATCATAATATGTTTAAGATGCACCATTTAAGCGAACATTCGTAGGCATTTCAGGGTTATACCATATGAGCAATCACTTATTTTAAATTAATAATTGAATTGAGACACAAAAGTCAGAAGCTATAATCACATTAGGAAATTACTATATTCGAATAGGTAAGTAGGTGCCTAAATTTTCAAATTAAAAAAATTATATGTTACACGTACATGATTCATGAGACTAATAATAAAACACTTATTAAAGAATACTTACTGGATATTAACTAAAGTTTAATTTATAAAATCAAATTTGTTATATACTTGGCATAACTCACAATTAAAATATTAGTAAAAGGTAAAAACATAAAATAAATAATGAAATATAGTTAAAACTTCACATAAACGTCACAAATTCTAAAAAATTTAATATTATAATATTATACTAAAATTATGTTTAAAATGATTCTAAATCATTAATCAATGTATTAATAAAAATATCCACATCGGACCTATTAACTATTTTATAAACAGTAAAACTACAGTAAAACTCCTACCTCTGTAGAACGGGCACCTCTAAATAGCGGTCATTATTTACAGTCCCTTCGGTGACCGTTATATGGAAGTTCATATTATTATAGTATAGTATTATACTATATTAGGCTTATTATTATTTTGTAATAGACCTGATTATCTTTCGGGCACTACGATGTTAGATTATATTATTAGATTACCAAGATAAAAGCAAACACAAAACAAGATAGGTTATACCTATAACATTTTAGTTTTATTGATAATATAAGATTAAATATTTAAATTTATTGTAGCATCAGAATAAAATATAATCAACAAAGTTTATTTGAGAAACTTAATTAAATTAAGAATTTATTAATGAATTTAAACGTTCATAATAACAGAATAACTGCAAACGTAAATAGTTGATCAGTAAAAAGTAGGCAGTTGTACATGTTTCACACAATATTATATTTGATAAAAATGTTAACATAGCCAAAGACCAAAGAGTAAAACTAAAAATCTTGTCACTAACCATGATTTAAGTAACCAAGTCGAGACTGCTTGATGTTGGCCAAAACGGCAGCGTCTTCTACCGTCGTCCTTATGAACTTTTCAACGAGTGTGAAAAGAACATCATCGACCAACCATCTACGGCAAAACTGACATTTGTCACTAGATGACCCTTCCGTATACGATTTTCGTATTTTCATTAATTTTCAGATTTCCTACTAGTGACTTTCAATGAGTTGTAAGTTGTAATAATTTGACGTTGTTTGGACCATGTTTTACTTTTTCTTGTGACCAACAAGCAACAGACCAACGGTTATATTCAAATATTATAATTTGACTATGTAGGTGAAGGACGTAGGTGCCTACGGATACCAACAATAATAATATGAACTACCTATGTATTCAGTGCCGCAATTAGGATTCTTGGGGACCCGGACAAAGTCAATGTATGGGGCCCTCAGGTCTAATGCCTATGTATATAATATTTTTTAAAAAGATTATACAATTGTATAGGTATATATTAGGGGATCCGTTTAAGTGTAGCACTCATTATTTCGAAAAGTTGTAACTTTTTCAAAAATATTCTTTTATATAATTTAAAGTTATTTCAAAACAACATTTGTAAAAAAAATTAATATATTTTACTATTTTTTATCGTTATAATTTTTAAAGTTTTTCCCCTTTTTTGAGTGACATCATATATTTTAAATTTCATATTCTAAAACAAAATATTGTTCTGAGTATTTGAATCTATAAAATCAAATTTCGGAAAAATAGGTCATTAGTTATAACTTATATTATGTATTTAAAGTTTACACGAATGAAGTAGTAGTGTAGTACATGGGAAATCCACAAAATCTGTCCACTACTCCGCTAATCTAAACTTTAAATACTTATAAGTTGTATTTAATGAATTACCTACTTCTTTAAAATTTGATTTTTATAGATTAAAATATTCCGAATAATATCTTGCTTCAGAGTATGAAATTGAAAATGTATGATGTCATTCAAAAAATATAAAACACTTAAAAATTATAATGATCAAAAACAGTAAAAAATATTTATTTTTTTCAGAAATGTTGTTGTGAAATGACTTACAAATATTATACAAAAATAATATTTTTGAAAACCTAAAACTTTTCGATATAATGAGTGATACATTTAAATGGATTCCCTAATATATACCTATACAATTGTATAATCCTTTTATAAAATATTATATACATAGGCATTAGACCTGAGGGCCCCATACATTGACTTTGTCCGGGTCCCCAAGAATCCTAATTTCGGCACTGAATACATATAGGTAGTTCATATTATTATTGATGGTATCCGTAGCCTACGTCTACACCTACATAGTCAAATAGTATTTGAATATAACCGTTGATCTGTTGCTTGTTGGTCACAAGAAAAAGTAAAACATGGTCCAAACAACGTCAAATTATTACAACTTACAACTCATTGAAAGTCACTTAGTAGGAAATCTGAAAATTAATGAAAATACGAAAATCGTATACGGAAGCGTCATCTAGTGACAAATGTCAGTTGGAAGTCACTTTTGCTGTAGATGGTTGGTCGATGATGTTCTTTTCGCACTCGTTGAAAAGTTCATAAGGACGATGGTAGAAGACGCTGCCGTTTTGGCCAACATCAGGCCGTCTCAACTTGGTTACATTAAATCTTGTGTTTAAATATCTTAGTTAATTATCTTAGTTCTACTTAGTGGGGTTGCTTTTTGAATTCAATTTCTCCCATAATTTCATAATATTTTGTGCTGCCATTTGTTTGGCTGTTGATTTGTTGTTACTGTGTCCTGTGAGTATGAATTATTTCTTTAAGTACCTAGGTACTCGAATTAAACAATTAGGAAAATCAAATTAAACTATACCTATTGCCACTAAGTCCATCGCATTGCATTGGATTGAATAATGGTTTCCAGGTTTCTCATTATTTTTGGGCTGTGATAGAAGTGTATATATTGGTGATCGATATGAATGTTTATCGCATTCATTATGCAGTAACTCCACATAGTTTGCTTTAAACTTAATCATTGGATTGATGGATTTTAATCTATTCAAAAATGCGTTTAATATTTACTCATAAGTGCACAATAAATGTATTTAATATATATATTTTTACTCTTTATCGTTAAAAGATCTTATGTGCGAGGAGAGGGTTCGGTTTTTCTGTTTTCTTATGATTGAACGCAACATTTCAGAAGCTGCATTTACTTTTGCCTCGTACTTGTTAGTACCACTTCCTTCAACTTAACACAATTACCATTTATAAAAACACAATTAATTACATAATTCACTCACCATACATTCCAAACAATGTACACGAATAGTTGTAAATAAATTGTTGACCAGATGTGCTTCTTTTTAGGAACCGATAAATTGGATGGATTCCGTGATCTACAATTCTATTCCTTAATAATTCCATTGGTGAACGCAAATCGGATAAAATGAGTTGTGTTTCTTTAAATTTAAATTGGTTTTCCTTAACAATACAAATAATAATTATATTCAAACTAGAGAGGTATGACCGTATTCCATTTGATTCATACTATTTCTTGTCTTTTTATTTTAGACATATAATTTAATTTAAATGGTATTGTTTGATGTTTTATTTTCGAATATAAATTGTCCATTGGAATATTTAAAAATATTCTCATTTCATTATATCTTTTAACAGCTGATTCTATTGATTTCTCCATCCATTTTATTTTCATTTTTAATTCATTGTATTCTATAAAGTAATAACATTAGATAGGTACTCCTGATAAGTTATAAAAATGTATATTATGGCGGATATAAAGATAGTTTCTATTATTAACGGTTTAAAAGCAATACTATATAATATGCATTAATGAATTTTTAATTTTTTTTTAGTTTCTGTTAAATTGAAAACATGTATTACCTATACATTTTTATGCTGCCATTGAAGCATAATTGGATGTAAAATTACTAATTAGATACGAATAAACTATGTTATTGAGCCAAAATATTTTTTAATTGTCTGTAATTTAAGATACTAATGCCATTGTAAATTTAGGTAGGTACCAAAATAAATTACTTTGTTTATCCTTGAGAGAATTATCATATCTTGGTGTTAACCAAACAGATTTTTCTATTTGTATCAAATAATTTAGTTGATTAATAATGTCATGGGCTGACTTCATACGTTCTTTAAAATCATTCAAGACCATATTTTCTTCAGTAATTGATTTGGAAAATCCTTAGTATAATCATATTATTGTAATATTACTTTATTAATAAGTAATATTATATGAAAATAAAATGTTTGTTACTAGAATCAATCCAACGATCCTTATCGACTATAAGCTTGGTCATAAAATTATTGACACTATTAAACATTGATTGTTTTTCCACTTCATATAATTCAGACTGGCGAGAGTGTTTTGACTGATTTGTGACATTTATCCAGTTTTGAGTTTGTTTTTGTTTAAGATTATATCTAGCCAATTCCATGTGGTCATTTAGCTATTAAACAATTCAACATTAATTATTTGCAAAATAACTCATTTTTTACATTTTTTACATCGTAGCTCATTGTATTTGTTTAGTTATATTTGTCTTAAATTTACTAGGTTATAAAGAGTATGATACGTATAACGTAAATAAAATTACCCTATTAATTTAATTTTAGTGTTAAGACTGGAGAGTATAGAGGAAGAAAATATGTTGTTCAATTACTATTATTGTTTAATCACATTTGAGACTATAGCAACCAAGCAAGCCAATATACCTAATATAAGTTATTAGCTTAAATTATATTCTTGAAATAATATTTATTTTTTAAATATCTACTGTAGGCATCATACAAATTACAAACAAATTTGTTAAATATGTATCTTTGGATTTCTGTTGAAACATAATTATTAATTGGATACTTTTCCGTTATCCCGACTACAGCCCAATGATCGCGGTGTATCTATGCTATTAGCTACCACGAGTCTCAATTCCGTTACATTTCAACTAATGTTCTCGATGCGACGATGCGATGACTACCAGCCAAACTTTATTATATAGTTCCGTCTTTTAATACACATACATTTTTTTCTGAATATAAAACTCAAAATAATATATTCAGAAAATTCTTAAATTTATAATAATATATTCAACTTTTGGCCGTGTGGTTACATATATGTGCTGAAAAATTATTTATAAAATGTTATCATCAGGTACGATTTTCAAATTATTGGTATTTCATTTTGGTATACAGACAAAAACACGACACGGGCAGTAGTTGTGAACCCCCCTAGTAGTAACCATAGACCTATTAACTATAATTAAAAGGCAGTAGCGGGTCCAGGGAGGGCAAAGGGGCATTCCCCCCCAAAGTTTAAACTTTCCCTATGTTTTACACTGTAGTATTAATTATTAACCAATTATTATGTCATACATAATAGTTGGGGAAATTTCCTGTACATATACTATATTGGTTTCAAAAATCAAAATAACTGAACAATATAATCAGACAAGTTTAACAAGTTAATCTGTCAATCTGTCAAGATTTATAGTTGAAATAGGGGGAACATGAAGATCATATAAAAATTAAAAATACACTATTGATCATTGTGCTGACTTTGATTTTACTAATTTACTGTATTGTGTTCTGATTTTGCAAATTGTTTTTTTTTTAAAAGTTCTGGATTTAATAGTGTAAAATATGGAAATTATTGAAATTATTAAATCAAATAAGGGTGCAGATAAGATTTGTCACAAAGGTCATAATATGTATAGGTACTTTAAAATAAGCCGGAATACAATATTATACATGGGGATGTACAAAAATAAGTTCACTTAATTGTCCGGCTATTCTGAGAACTACAACTAAGATAACTCAACCTTTTGTTTCAAAAAATTTTGTTATATTATCACTTTGGTTTTTTTTCCGTATACCACCCACTTGTAATCTTCAGCCTTCTGTATAGCAGAGTACCTTTTTTTTTTAAATTGATAATATAAATTATTTAAACATGAATTTTATAGTGCACTGAACGAAAATGCATTACCTAGTAGATTTGATAATGCCTCTTTTTAATTTATTAATATAAATAGGTAGTTGTATATTAAAATAATAACTATTTATTCTCAATTTTGTTAGTCTTACGAATATATATAAGGAATATATATTATTCAATTATTGGATTAAGAAAGTCTATAGTTAAAATCAACGAATAATATTGTTAACATTATAATTAAGCATACAAATATTAGTTTAAAAAAGAAATACATTAAATTAATAGAAAGTGTATGAAAATAAAAAAAAGCATTTTTAAATCTAAACTAGTTTTTATAAATTGTATACAACAAGTGTATGATCAATTTAAAGCAAATTGCATTCTTACAGTTCACAAAATGTATTTATCAAATTAACAATGCTAATATTGAGTATTAGGTAGGTAACAATATTATTATTATTTTTTATTTTACAAACCACGGTGCCTGTTTTGTTATTCGTCTAACAGAAACTTAAATTATTAAATATTTACCATGTTATTGTTTAATTAAACATAATATATTATTGCAGAATATTAATCCAAAATCCTGTTATATTTTGGTAGGTACCTATAGAGTCAATATATTTTTTTTTACTGTTATATTTTATACATATAAACTGAAATCAAGGTGAGAACAGTTTGTTTTTTTATTTTTAACGTACCTATCGGCTATCCGCCGGGCATCGGCTATCAATCAACTACCGTGTGCCGTACGCCCGTACCTAAACAATGTCGTGTTTTAATTAGTTTTATTTCTATTTAAAATGTTTAAACGTTTCGGAGGTTTGACTGCTCCGAGTGACCAACAGTTATTTCATAACTCCCCCCTATTAGTTAATATGAAATAATTATTTCATATAATAACAGAAAATGATTCGACTTGAAAATGAAGAATATTATAGTTTTTTAGCTTTTTACAATAATATCATTATTATTTATTTACTTTTTGTGTAGCGGCACACAAACGATGTTAGAGTGGCGACACTGTAACGTATGTAATCTCCTTGTATAATGCTACAATGTCGTTATCGTATCAATATGAAGATGAATAGATAAAATGATTGTCATATGAATAGCAGGGTAATGTTCTATGGTAATAGTGTATTATAAG